ATGGTTATTATCATAAGGCAAATCACGCCGTTTAATGACAGAGCAATGTAAATAAATTGCCAAACAATAAAATGGCAAGGAGAAAAACATAAAAAACGCTCGTAAACTGCGACAGAGGCAACAACGCACAGCCAATACTTTCAAGTTCATGTTGAAGGCCATCACTCGCTGCCGGTGGATAAACAGCGATTCGTAGCAGCGGCGAACAAGTTGAATTGGCACGCGTATGGCTTGCGACAACCAGCCGACACCACGTTGGACCCAAAACGCATGCAATTGAGCATTTTCAGCTCTCGAATACTGCGTTCGAAGCACAAACAACAAACATGCCTGCCTGCATATGCGCCTATGTCTGCTTTATTTTATTACCATTCAGGTGGAAACGCGGCAAGTTGTCGGCGCTGGTATTACGTTTGTTGCTGTAGCAGTGTGAAACGACAAGTGTGACCACTAGTTGCCTATCAGCGGCGTCGATTGCGTGAATGAATCAGTTAAGCTGCTGCAAATAAAGCAACGCGAATTGGAAATTGCAGCAGATACCGTTAAAATAACCGCGGACGCCTTCAAACACAAAGTCATGCACACAAACAAATCAGCGCAACGGACAGGCCTACAAAAGTCTTAGACAGTTTGGCGACCAACCAGTATCGTACGGACCGCACGCATCGACAATGATTTGTATACGTATGTATGTATACTATATATAAATATGTATGAGCAAATGTGTAAAGAAAATTTGCAGATTTTTTTGCACTGACTCACTGCACTCGAAATCCGATTGTTGCGAGTTCGAGATTTGTAGATACGCATGTGCGCTTGTTTGTCCTAATGTAGGTGTAGACAGGTGTGAATATATGTATGTTTGTGCGTTACAGGTTTTTCGATTTCGTGCATTACTGGACGCACTTCAACAGCTTGCCGCTTTTAATTTCATTCAAAAGTGGCTTAAGCGCACGCACTCAGACACAACCCGTTTGCCGCTGTATGAATTTGCAAAAACAAAAACCTGTTTTAAGAACGCGTAAAATTATATACGATGAACAAATCGTATAAGGAAGCTGAACTTCCTGAACATGAAATTACAGTGGCAACTTAAATATACACACACATTATTTGTTTTCGATGCTCAATTGTCAAAATTACTAATTTAATTAATTTTAATTATTTTATTTATTTAATTTTAATTATTATTAGGACATCTCCATAAGTTACAATTTAAGGTAAGGCGGATGCTTCTTAGGTCAGTGCAATTTAAATGTTTAACAAACTTCAACAACCATTAAAAAGATAAATAAGCGAAATGGCCCTATTATCTGTGTAACTTGCTTTCATTTATAAAACAAGTAAGGAAGGGCTAAGTTTGGGTGCAACTGAACATTTTATACTCTTGCAACTGGCAAGAATCAAAGCCAGGGAAATACTTTATGGCGTAAAACGTCAACGATCGAAATCTAAGCAATTTTATATAAGCATTTACTATATATAACTCCTATAGTGACAGACACGTAAGATTTGTTAGAAAACCGAAAACCATTATATGTAGTATTAGGAAGATGGGATAGTATCGACTAGATTTTATCTATTCCTCCCTATAGCACGAGATATTAAAATGCCACGTACTAAGACAACCGGCACGGGCAGCCGGATGCTCGAAAATCCTGATATTAGATATTTGGGGGTAAGTCAAGTTTTCATTCAAATTTTGAACAGTACCGTTATATGAGGATTGAGCAGGGTTTTCAACCAATTTGATAAATTTTCACACTATCAGTAGAAGTATTTGTAATATTCGTGCGAATTTGGTTGCTGTAGCTTAAGTGGTTTAAAAGATATGCTTATTAAAAAAAAGCCACGCCAACTTTTTCAAAATTGGTTGCCCACATATCCCCCTGGCTACTGCGATCCTCTGTGCCAAATTATAATTTTATATCATAATTCAGTGCTTAGTTACGGCACTTTATATGTTTTCGATTAATGCCGATTTGTGGTCGGGGTCCGATTAGGCCCATCTACGAATTCGAAATTTTTTGTTTGTACTAATATATCTGCTTCCCAAGTTTCATCAAGATATCTCAATTTTTACTCAAGTTAGTACTTAAGTTTTAGTAAGTATAAAAATAAAAGTAGTTTGGTTCGATGAGAAGCATATTCTGCAATACATAAAAATTAAGTAAAAATGTTTAGAATTATTTTCTAAATTTTAAGTTTTGCTTCACTTTTAAAATTGTGGTTCTTTTTGTGAGAAGTGTGGTAAAAAAAGTTCCAGCTGAATAAAGGTAATATCATTTAATAAAAAGTTGTTTTTATATTACTTTAAACATATGGATCTTAACTGCATCGACGATCGTGCTTAGATATTAAAGTTTACGTTAGTTAGAGCCGTCTCCTTACTAAAAGCGCCTTCTTACACTGATGAGTGCAGATAGATTTATAAGCCTTAAATAACTTATATTTCTACATATATTTGATTAGAAAAATTATGCATTTACAAGTACGCCTCAAATATACGAGTCTGCGAAATCTTCTGATGAATGTTAGACAAAGGCAAGACCATTGAATTAACATGAAGATTAAAATCAAGCTTTGGGTTCATCGTTACACCCAAGCCAATAAAATTAGGCAGTTTGGGTATCCGGATTAGAAACTAAAACACCAGCTTGTATAATTTATTTTTTTTAATTTGCATGCATATAAAAAGCAATGACCAAAGCATTTTTCTCAAGCAATTAATTAATCAGATCACAAATTTTATCTGATTTTCATCTCTCGCTTCAACTATCGGAAAAATCTTTAAGCTACGCTAAAAAGTTAATACTTTAAATATTGGAAATATGCGTACAAGCGCACTCATGCTCATCGGCGTCTAGTTAAACTAACGTGCTGTGCATTACTTGCCGCTTGCAGGTGAGCAGGTTCACCTTTTATCTGCGCATAGATTTTCTCAGGTAGCCAACATAAGTGGCCAGTCGTTTTCATTTTCATTGGTCACACACGCTTGTTTTCATTTTGTGTCAGTGCATATGAAAGATTTATTAATTACTATGCAGTTTTCAATGTATTCTCCAGTTGTAAGAAAGTAAAAGGAGAGAGAAAATATAAGTTTTACTCAAGTTAAAGTAAATAAATAAAATTTAATTTAATTTTTTTATTTATTTCATTCTGCTTATTTTCTTGTACATATCTTCAGTGAAATTAGAGGAGCATTTGCATAAGCAGTTAAATATGAAATAATAAAAATTTTGGTAGTTTTGTGAGAAAGTTTATTCAAAGCCGCTATTTTATGAATAATATTCCACTGCGGACTTATCAGAATAATTAATTGAATGGATAGAAGAAGGTCTGTTTATTTTGTTTTTATTTTTCTATCTATTATATAGTTTTAAAATTAAAAATGGAAATTACTCGTGAACAGACATTTATTGATTTTGCTCCGCAATTGTTGAAAACCTAGTTTGACATGGCACTTTAAGTTTTGAGCAATTTTTAAAGACACAATCTCATCATTGAATACATAACATATTCACTTGACCCCAACGACCAACGGGAACAAACGATTGATGTATTCATATTTCAATACAGTAAGCGGTAAACCTACATACAGCAACCCATGTAGAACATGACAAACTTTGGGAATGTGTTGATCTACAAAGTCGTATTCTAATTATTTTGTTCTATTTCAGCACTACCCGCACATGTCGCTCAAAGCTGCTACAAATCCATTGCACGTCAGCTGAACACACGTCAGTCGCATATCAAATGTTTTTGTTGCGCTTAACAGCATGGACCCGAAAAGTGCTACGGCAATGGAAAACAAGAACAAATTAACATCGTTTTTCGTCTACATTTGCATGCCCAGCCTGCTTTGATATTGACCTGCACTCAGGTCTTTCGGATAAATGTGCATTTGTTTCTTGCGTTTTCATTACTTTTGATTTGCATAATACATTACCAAATTGAATATACAAATAGGAGAGAGAATATAGAACAAAATAATCTTTGAATAAAAATGTTGTTGTTTGTAAGTGAAAATTAATAAATTGACACTTTCAAATTTTTTCTACAAGAATTTTGCTGGGAAACAAGAATTTTAAACCGAATATTAAAAAAAAACTTGATGGGAAAATATGAAGGCGATTTGTGACCTAATTTTATATCAGTGAGGTGAAAAAGCTGTTGAAAAGTGAAAATAGCTGAAATTTTTAAAGCTTTTAATAGATTGTAGATAAGTGTAAAATAAAAATAAAAAATAAATACTTGTATAAAAAATGTTAAATTATGCCTAAACGCCTTTCACTATCCTTAACATGAAAATGGTGTTATTAGTTTATCTACTTTAAAATATAATTGCTGTAATGAATATTCAGAAAATGATAATTGTTCCGACAAAAAAATCATATATTTTTCTTTATTTTAGAATTCCATAACAGTCGTTCCCTTTAATTATAAAGAACGGAAAAAAACACGAAATATGAATAATAAAAACAAAATTTAACCAAATGTATATCCAGAAGTTATACAATTGTCGGTGTTCTAAGTTTTAAGATTAAAAAGGCATAACTTTCAAGATACAGTGTTTCAAAACATTTGTATTTTGCTTTTAAGTAATTTCTAAACAAAAAAAAAATTGTGGGTATTTTCAGAAAGCCTTCTGTACACACAGCGAAGCAAATCAGTCTAATATTATATGTTTCCATGCATTGATAGTAAACTCAAATAATAAAGAGACTTCAATCAAAAGAACCTTTCCCTTCTCTTGTTTCAAAATTTCTAGACAAAACTAGGTATTATCCTTTCTAAGGGTACGCACATTTTAATGTTTAATTTTTGAACAAAAAATGTACTTGTAAGTTATTAATTTTTGTATTTTTCATTACAAATGAATTTAAAAATAATTTGAATATGTCTCAAAAATTTTTTCATCCAATTTTCAATTTTAATTTATGTCTCAAAACAAATAAGTATAAATTATATGTTTTCATTACTTCCTCATGGTTACTTACGAATTTCATTTTGTTGAGACAAATTTGCCGCGTATCCACTGGGGTTACAACTAGGTAGTTTGGAAATTGTACACAAGAAATGCACAAATCACAATAATAGCTGTGTAAACTCTTTCTCAAAAGCAACAGCTGCAACAACAAATCATCAAACACTTTTCTGCACTTTTTTATGCAAATTATGCACACTTTTATTTTAACACCACAAATTTCTTTGCTATTTGCTTTGGATATTTACTATTTTCTCGTGTTTGGATACGCTGCGAAAGCACAACAGTTTGAACATGTATGTATGTATGTAAGCAGCCAAATTGCACTTTGGTTTAAAACAAAAATTATAACAAATAATCTTTTTGTTTACGTCTTTGGTTTCGTGGTAAAAATATATATGAAAATAGATGTAATATATATTATTTGAAGTTAACCGCGCGGTGCCTTTATCTGTAGCAATTGGCGTTGCACTCCTTCGATTCGTACTTTGCACAATTTTTACGTGTTCACTGGGGCAGACGTGCGGTTTGGTCAGGCGTTCGAACAATCTGTCCGTCGTGCACTGGGGTAGTTAGTTTAGTGTCGGTGCCGTTGGTTGGTTGGTTGGCTGTCGGTTGATTGTTGGTTGTGCGCTTTTGGAGGTACTAAGAGACTTGTGGTAAGACACTTAATGAATTCCAGTGGATATGCTTAGTTGGTTTTATATTAAACACGAAACAATAAGATTTGTTAATATTTTACTCTCAAATTGGAGCATAAACTTAAGCAAAGATACTCAACTGGCGTGAGAGAGAGAGAGAGTACGGGCTGTATATTTAATGAGTGCGCGAATACATGAGTGAATTTTCCAGTGTTTTGCTAAGCCCGTTATTACATACGTCAACTTTTGGTACTAATTCTCGGGCGCTTCTCTTTTGCTGTCGCCCGCTACATTCATGTGTGGAATACAATGCTCGCGACAGACTGCAAACGACGTCTGTCAAATATTAAAATACACACGTTCCTATGGACGGACCTATTTTGACAGCAGCACGACTACAAGACGGCAGGCCGACAGTTGTCGTTCTCGCTAACAATTCACTTTTATCCTAAATTTGCCAAAGTGAGTAGGACGACAGTAGAGTTGACAGTAGAATGGAAGATAGAGAGATGAGGTAGAGTGGTGACGCCACTAATATGTAAAATATACAGTTACTCAAAGCTCTAACAAACCTGACGTTATTTTACAAGTAAAAGCATAAAATAGCTCTGTTACATCATTTATAATAACAATTGATAATTTAAAACAAATAAATTTACCTATTTTCTTATTTTTTGCTTAAAAATTTCACTTTGCACAAAATATTAAAATTTCACTGAAGTGCAAGGTACTAGTATGGCCACAACGAAATTATGTACATGCAAAATGGACAACTGCGTTGTTTTGTGTACATGCCGGCCATTGTTATGTTGCTGCCCTCACACAAACGTTCATGTAGTAGGATTCATAACGCCATTTTCAGTTCGCTATCGTGATGCTGCAGTCTGTCGCGAGCATTGTGTTCCGCACATCACACAAACAATTTGTGTTGCGAAACTCTGTTCAAGTTTTTTCTCATTCTCTTTCACTTTACTTTAACCCACTGTCGTCTCTTTTTCCTTATATGTATTTAGGCCACTCTATCACATATATTAATCAGTTCTGTCAATTAAGAAATACATTTTATTTATAATTCAAAATTAAAACAAAAATTATATAACAGACCTTCACTATCGTCTGAATCAATTTGTATGACTTCCTCCATACATTTCACAATGTCTTTAATTAATTCGATTTTTTCGTCATACTCCATTTTCCAAAATATTTATACATATTATATAATATAATTAATTATGTACGAGGTGTGTTCAAAAAGTATGGCGAATTTTGTGTTTTTTCAAAAATTATTTATTTATTCATGAATATCTAGTTTGTCCCCTTCAAAGTAATCCCCATGAGATATTATACACATGTGCCAACGATTTTTCCAATCTTCGAAGCACTTCAAAAAATCTTTTTTTTTATCTTCTTCAGCTCCTCCCTCGATGCCGTCTTTATCTCGTCAAGAGAAGCGTACCGTCGTCCTTTCATGGGCCTATTCAGTTTAGGAAACAAGAAAAAGTCACAGTGGGCCATATCTGGGGAATACGGAGGCTGCGGCATCATTAGTGTGTTGTTTTTGGCCAAAAAGTCGCGCACAAGCAACGATGTGTGAGCAGGAGCGTTATCGTGGTGYMAAAGCCAATTTTTGTCACATCTTCTCGGCCTTCTGGGAACATTTTGTACCACCGATAAATGTTGCTTCGGTCCAAGGTAGCTTCTCCGTGTGCCACAGTCAACATTCGGAATGCATACATGTATACATATTTGCAAATTACTTACCAAAAGATGAAATTAAATTTTTTTAACAAGTAAAGAAGGGCTAAGTTCGGGTGTCACCGAACATTTTGTACTCATGATAAAGTGATAATCGAGATTTCATTATCCGTCATTTACATATTTTTTTATTTTGCTGTAAAGTTAATTACATTAGATCAATTTGTGTACTTTGAGTATTGAATTATATTTTCATTTATTTTAATTGTATTGAAAAGTTATAGTCCGATCACGACAATTTTTCCACAAGGGATACCTCAGCTCAAATACCGTATTTGTGGTTTTATTCCGCTATCATCATTGGTTCCTAATGTATATATGTATTATACAGAGAAGGCATCAGATGGAATTCAAAGTAGCGTTATATTGTAAGATGGCGTGGTTGTGAATCGATTTCACCCATATTTGCTACATGTCATCAGGGTGTTAAGAAATATTTCATTGAAATCGGTCGAGCAGTTGCTGAGATATGGTTTTTGGTCCGACGAAACGCCCATTTTCAATTTTTAAAAAGCCTCGGTGCAGCTTCCTTCTGCCATTTCTTCCGTAAAATTTAGGGTTTCTGACTGTTTTGTTAGTCGGTTAACGCACTTTTAGTGACTTTCAACATAACCTTTGTATGAGAGATGGGCGTGGTTATTATCCGATTTCTTCTATTTTTGGACTGTATATGGAAATGCCTAAGAGAAACGACTCAATAGAGTTTGGTTGACATAGCTATAATAGTTTCCGAGATATGTACAAAAAACTTAGTAGGGGACGGGGCCACGCCCACTTTTCCAAAAAAATTACGTCCAAATATGCCCCTCCCTTTGTGCCGAATTTCACTTTAATATCTTTATTTATGGCTTAGTTATGACACTTTATAGGTTTTCGGTTTTCGCCATTTTGTGGGCGTGGCAGTGGGCCGAATTTGCCCATCTTCGGACTTAACCTTCTTATGGCGCAAAGACGTGTACCAAGTTTCATCATGATATCTCAATTTTTACTCAAGTTACAGCTCGCACGGACGGACGGACGGAGAGATAGACATCCGAATTACAACTCTACTCCTGATCACTTTGGTATATAAAACCCTATATCTGACTCTTTTAGTTTTATAACTTACAAACATGCGTTATGTGAATAAAACTGTAATACTCTCATTAGCAACTTTGTTGCGAGAGTATAGTAAATATATTCAAAATATTAATTTCAAAAAAATATACGCAAATGCAACTATGTACTATGAGAAAGAACACGAATGCCGAAAAACGTCGCAGCGAACTGTTACGAATAAGAACACAAAGCGAGTTGCCAAACACTGGAAACTCGGCGCGATTCTCCTCTTCTCGTCGTCCCCTCGCCTATAAACTAAGAATTGACGCAACAAAAGTTGCCGTGTGTAATAACAGACTAACAGGCGTACGTGATTAACCGTTTGATGTTGAGTGAATTTCAATGTTTTGAGTAGTTTACTTGTTGCCATACACAAGCATGCTAAACGTGTGGTCGATTCTGATGTGCCATGAAATTCTCTGTGTGTACGAGTATTCTTTTCCTTAATTTAGTTGTATTCTCGTTAAAAACGACTTTCACTTGCGGCAAGGGTCATTTAACGATACGCGTTGCTGCGCGCCGACGTATTGCATTACATGAAATGCATATAGTGAGTCATTAGCGGCTTGTCGCTAATGCAAACAGAATCTTTATTAATATGCGAGTTAGTCACGAGATGAAAAAATCATTACATATGCCACATTAAAACACGATTTAAAGATTTTAAGGAAGCGTGTGAAAGACGTCACTTAAAACGAACGATTTGTAAAGCTTACACTTCACCTTTTATTTTAAGCGCGAACTGCTGATAAGAAGCCTTAAATTTAAGAACTTGATCTTTAGAAGCAATGAGCTAAATTATTTAAATAAATAAGAATTAATCAGTCTAACATATATTTAAACTTATACGTCTCTGAAATATAACTACATATATATGTATCATTTTTGGAGAGGTCATAACCTGAAGAATGACCAATAATACTCGATTTCGCTAGTATTTAAAGCAAACTTTCTTTTAAACTCTCTGATACTCATAATATATTTCTGGATTCGAAAAGCGCTTCACTGAGTACATTACCATTTAAAGTTTGTGACTTTTATGGTATTACTGGAAGGGCCTACCTGGTAGCAGCTCGATTTATGAAAAACTATGTTTAATTGTACAATTATATTAAGTGTGCCACGAAGTTTCTAACACCCAGAGGAAAACGTCGCAGACCCTATGAAGATCAGAGTAACGAGCTAAGCCGATGTAGCCATGTCCGTCTGTATATCTCATATACGCGAAATAATCCCTCAGTTTTTGAGATATGGATTTTTTTTTGAGTCCCCCATTATCAGAAAGCAATATTTATGAATTGAAGTTTGCACGAGCAATTCGCGCTCTGTCGTTCCATAACCACTTCAAGACAAAAGAGCTTATTCTAGTAAACTTAGCAACAACAAATAATAAACGAATATTGTATTAGATTTTACGATACTTGAAAATGCAAAACACACGCCCTGAATCTAAAACTATACTATGTTAACCGCATTCATAGTCATTGATTAACACTTATTAAAGCTAATTTCCTATATTTTCACGCCTCTATGAATTGCCTTCAAAAAATTATTATTATTTTTAATTTCGTAATTGCATTTTTTTCACGCGCAAAACGCAATTTTAAAACGCATTTGTATATACACTAAGTAGCTAATTAAAAATCATTGATCAATAAATCACGTTTTGCCGAATTCAACACATACTTCGAATAGCAACATATCAATAATGCAAAAATGAAAGTATGAACTACTTTTATTTTATTTAGCATTGGTGAACAAGTTTTGCTTTTCATTCCACTTGTAAATGCTTAATGTTTACAAATGTTTTTAATAGAGTAACCTACAATTTTGAATGAATTTTCTTTTATTATAATATTCTACATAATTATACATTTGCATAATTACAATTAGCGATAATTGCAGCTGCATCCAAATCGGTGACTTTGCGAAGAAACTTCCGTATTTCAACGCAGCAATGCAAACGAACACGCACACTATTTCTATTAGCACGAGGTGTTCTTTTGTAGAAGGAAATGTAAATATTCACCCTGAAATAGGTTTTTCATTTGATATTGAACTGTGTAGGTAGGTGGTAGCTTTAAATTGACCAAGGTAATAATAAATACTCCCGACGGTCTATTTTTACACAATTATTTTAAATAGCATACCTGTTTACGCAAAT